GGGTGGCCGACTCGCTTACGTGGCCGACTCGCTTACCGAATACGTTACGGCTTGGATGCTCTAGTTCGATGAAAAGTCTCAAAGGGGAGAAACTTCCATGATCTATTATCACTCTTGATGATCAGGATGTGACCATGCGGCTACCGGCACCTCGGCCCACCATTGCAGCCGACAGACGAGACGACCCCATGAAACAAGAGATATCCTGGTTGAACACCAAGACGAACATTGCAGCAAAATGCGGGGTAGGGGCGCCGTCTCAACGATTTAGCTTCGTCTCCCAGATTGCAGATGCATCTAGACGGCTCGGTTATCTTGTAAAGGTGTTCATCTCCGTTTCTCTGACGCCGACGCGTCCAAATTCCCCCGGCATATTGATATCGTCGACCAATCGAGACTTTTCGACAGGGCTAACTTCTGCATCTGCAGACTGCATCATCCGGCCTCGGTTTCAAGTGCCGGCAGAACCGGCACTTGTGAGAATTTGCTTGTTTCTGCAAAGTGCCTTGTTGGCTTCTCTGACCATTCAGCGTTGGCGAAAAGGTGGCATGAAGCTTTGCCGAGGTCGTGCTCCGGTTTCTTGTCTTGTCACTGCGTCTGATGAAGGATATGCATGATACATGTCTGGATTGGGGAGAGTATGCGAGTCTACTGGAGAGAACCTGCTTCGGCATTACAGATGAGAGGTTGTTGGTGGGATCTTCCGGGAATGACGACGAGGAGAGACCTCTACTGTGCTTTGACATGCGATCTGACCGCGTCAATTTTCGTACTGCAGCGGTTGAACTGGGCGTTTTAGGGTGATTGGGGGCTGGATGCCCGTGCCATTGTCGTTGTGACGACAGCAGAGAGAAATCTCCAATGACAGATGGATGCATCGTGGGCTTTCTTGAGGCCTCGGTTGGAGAAGGCAGATTACGGGTATAAAGGCTCCAGAATGTCTTGCTGGATGGCCGATTCATCAGAAGTCTTCTCATTGAATCGCATCGTCGAGCTTCGACCAGACCTCTACAGAAGGACAAGATGCTTTCCCAGGTTTTCCTTATCGTTGCAGGACTGTCCTTGGCGTCCTTCGTGTGCGCTGCACCCTCGCTGGAATCTCGGGCTACCTCCGGTTCGTGAGACAGTGACCGTACAGGCACTTGTCTGTCTAATTGACATGGGGCAGATCCATCCGCTTTCCCAGACTTGCAGCGAGCGGCCGAGCTCTCCTCTGCTGCTTATACAGGTTGCGTGGGCTCTGCTTTCGATGTCACCATCACCAAGCAGATCTATGATCTGGCAACCGATACCCAGGTGCCTTGGCCTGTTGTTCATTGAGAATCATACTGTGGCTGAACAGTCGCTCACGCGCGCAAGGAACCTAGGGTTATATCGGCTACTCGACCACGAAGAAGACCATCGCGGTCGTCATGAGAGGATCGACCACGGCCACGGATATCCTCAATGACGTCGACACCACCCAGGTCACCCCGACCCTGGCTGGCGTTAGCTTCCCCTCCGGCGTCACCATCATGAACGGCGTGTACAGACCCTGGGCCGCTGTCCACGACGAAGTCATCGCCGAGGTCCAGAGCCTGATCGCCCAGTATCCGGGATATACCCTCGAGTCCACGGGACACTCACTCGGTGGAGCCCTGACGTACATGTCTTATATCGCTTTGGCGCAGAATTTCCCAACTAAGTCGCTCAGAAGCAATGCCCTCGCGGCATTTCCGATTGCCAATCAGGCATTTGCCGACTTTGGCACTGCGCAAAACGGGACGCTTATCCGAGGTAATAATGCGAATGATGGCGTTCCTGTAAGTGCTGTTCTGGGCATTGAGGTGCTGATCAGAATTGGATGTTAGTGCTAATGCTCTGAGCTATTAGAACATGTATGTGACGGCGCCATATAACTTTGTCCATTATGGAATTGTAAGTCTCTCCGGATTTGATACTGGGGTCTCAAGTCCTTGAGCCAAGCTACCGATGTCTTCTTCTCTTGCTCATTCAGTGTCTCCGTAGGAGTACTACAGCTACGGTACTGCAGCCACTACCCTCAAATGCTCTGGCGAGAGGGATCTGCAATGCTCCGCTGGGAATGGCATGGTAGGCGTGACAGCAGGTCATTTCAGCAGCTTCGGGATCACACTTGGATCTGCAGGGTGTGGAGTCTAGATTCATCTCAAGCGATGTTGCGCTGTACAGAGCGCATGGTCGCTTCACGACGGAGGTATTCGTTGGCTGGAAGAATGAAGGTACGGTACATGGTCGTGAGGACCAAGAGGGCGTGTTCCGCTTTGATCCGATCTGATACTTCGTTCCTGATCATATTGTACAGAATGCTGCACCGTATAAGATATGTACAATGAATGCCCCTATAGGCCAGGATTATCGGCTATCCAACTCAAACTTGAAGCCCTCTTCATGATCGGTGCGTTCGACTTTCTCAAGCTGTGCCCATTGCTCCGGGTAGTGCGCTTTGGCCCACTTTTCGACCTCATCTTTCCAATATTGATACGGAATGGCATTGTAGAAGCGGCCAATCCTAGAAGATGAACTATTAGCAGTGTCGCCACAACAACGGCGTCAAAATAAGGGTCTGTCAGAGGGAAGGTGACATACGAGTCGTAAGTCGGAGGGTATCCGATCTCCTCTTGCATCTTGTTGATCGCCTGAGTCGCAAGCTCAAACTCGCACTGTGCAGCCAACGCTTCGACATATGCCGTATACAGCCGGCGGTCAACCTCGATCTCGAGTAGTTTGACCTTGTCCATCATCCTCATCGCCTCTTGGGTTCCATGATGGTGCTTCTCGCACATCCTGAAGAAGGCCAAGATAGTCCTGGTTGACGGTCCTTCCTGTGACTGCAGAATGTCGCGGAATATCTCCATGCTCTTATCTGGCATATCACAACAGGCGTAAGCCAGCATCAGCTCGTTTAGGAGTCGGGTGTTGAGGTCCACTTCTACATCCAATTTGAGCATGTTGTGGACAAGCTCCAAATTTTTAGCATCTTGCATTTGAGCAATGCCTTGGAAACAGCGCGCATAAGTATCAGGCTTCGGCCGTCGCGCGAAGTCCTCCGCTTGGCGCATATGCCCAATCACGAGGACCGCGAGATCGCCTCTTTTGCGCTTGAAGAAGGACGTCATGATCTCAGTCCTCATGCTGACTCCTGTTTCCGGAAAGGCGACCTGCAGCAATCCGTATGCCTCCCACGCATCTGCACTATCCTGAGCGGTATCCAAGATGTAATTAGTGAGCGCCTGCCTGATTTTCGTCCTCTCCTCAGAGTCGTACGATCCAAGACGGGGGCGGAGCAACTCTGAGACGCCTTCCCAGTCATGTCGGTAGAGCAAGAGGTGCGTCAGCGCTGCGAGGGTGTCTGCCTCTAGACGGACGTTGTTTTCAAATAATGGGTCCAGAAAAGCCGAAACCCGGTCATACAAGGAATCATCTTTCCCTAGCAAGCAAAGCATACTTAGGAGCCTATTCATTAATGGCAAATTCTCAAGTGTGAATGAGCCGACGTCCTGTAGATCTTCCACCAATTCCATCGTCCTTCTCTCATTGCCCGCGATAATTTCAGCTTCCAACCGCAGGAGACGTGTTTGCGTATCTGGCACAACATTCCAATGAGAAGTTAGGGCGGCAAAGTCGGTGGCAAGCTGCGAGTTCTTGACGGAATTGGCGTATTGAATGAGGTTATTGATGTGAGAGGCAGTAAGCGCTGTCTTCACGTTCGGATCTTCCAATGCCCATGTCTGGAGCAGTTCCGAGATCTCAGAGGCGCTCTTGCCATGGACCGCTTCCCACAGTAACATCATGCCCACAGTCTCTGATTTGGGCGCCTGAGAGACTGACTCAGCGATAGGCTTCGCCCAGGATATCTCGGATTTGAGAAGGGTATATTTAACCACAGCTTCCTTGGTAGCAATCGTAGGCTCGATGTCACCAGTGATTGGACACTCATACATGATCTTGACAGCCGACAGTAAGTCTTGCTCAATGAGCATTTTGACCAATTGCTCGTGAGTTTCGCTATCGAATTTGATACCGAGCTCATCGAATTTCTTTTTAGTGGTCCAGCGAAGTTGTTGCTTATCATTGTTCATGGCGAAGCCTCTCATCACTGTAAGCCATGGCGAGGGCTTGGTCTTGCGCAGCCTGCTCCAAAACCTCTCGACAACATGCCGTGCTTCCTCCGGGTTGCCATTCAAGGCTTGGATTTTGATATAGGCAGAGAGGGCAGGTCGACTAATATTATTGGCACCGTAGTCATGATCAGCACACAGTTCCAGAAAAACGAAACGAGCTACCTTGAGAATGGCATCACGCGAATCCGGAAGGCATTTGGCTTCCGACAGGACAAACAGCACATTCTCAAGGTTCTCTGTAGAATACATTGTCTGCCAGTCTTCAGCTTCCAGCTCGGCTTCATGAGACCTCACATATTTCCATGTCATAGAGAGCAGTTGCGCCTGATAGCCGGTAATGACCTCGGAATTCTCCGCTCGCGCCACGAAGAAGTCATGAAACGCCTTTGTCAGTACACCGAGCGCCGGACCCCTACTTTTGTCAGACAGCGCTCTCTTTAAGTCCCTCATCGGTTTCAAGCCGGCCTCAGAAGGTAAAGTTGCAGACTGCGGAGTATTGGCTGGGGGTGCCATGTTGAACGCGAATAGACTCCGTCGTTGAGCATGGTGGGGATTGATAATGTCTAGCCTCCGAGTCCGGTGATGTCGCGTAATGTGAAGAAGTCGATTGCAACGTTGCAAGGGGAATAACGGCTCATTATTCAGGATGGCTCGAAACACTCGTCTGGTAAGATGGGATTGCATGTTGATAAAAGCCGGAAGAGCGACCAGCTGGCAGATAGGTCTTGACACAATCCTTCGAGGCTCGAGAGCCGATCCAGAATATTTATTGATTTAATAGAGTCAAAGGGTGCCAATGTGCATCATTGAGAAATGCGGAAAGTCCCTCGGATTTGCTGAACGTTGATGAAAAGAGCAATGAAAGGGAGACAGCAGCGGAAGTGGTGCGGCTCTTGGCGCAGCGAAAAGAAATCCGAACTGATGTGCTCCACTTCCTGACAGTCTCCGATCCAGAATCTAGCAGTGATCTTGTCTTATCTTCGAACGTCCTTCAGCCTGAAGTTGTGAAGACTGGGCGAAGATAGTGACGACAAGATGGTTTTCAATATCCTTCCTTCATTGCCTTTTCGGTCATTAGGCTCAAGTCTTGGTTCCTTCTCGACCTGCCGATGGAGTTCAACTCTGCCCAGCAAGACAGCCCATCAACGTACTGCTGCCGTGTTTCAAAGTGCGCATACCTCCTGTCCCTTATTTCTCGAAGAATAGTTTGAGAAATCTTTGTGAATGAATGCTTTTCGGACCTGCTGACTTGTGTGTTTAGACAGGGTGTTCCAGCGCCGTCGCCTACCAAACCGCCAAAAATTCCTCGAGGACCAGAAGGCCCAGGTTGAAAGTAGGGCCCTAGAGAAGTTTCAGACTCGTGATTGGAAAGCGGGTGATATCTACGCTCCCCATGATCTCAGTCCGGCAGAAATGAAGAAGTGGAGAAAGCGCCAGGGCCCGGCAGCAGATGCCTTTGACGCTTTGAACATGAATCCGCTTGATCTTTACAAGGTTCGCTTGGAACCCAGAACGCTATGCTCTCGTTCTCATTCGAACGCAAAGACGCAGTAGATGGCTAACCAGGCATTATTTCCACCACAGAACTTTTCTATAATGTCCGAATACATCACCCCAATGGGCCGCATAAAGCACAGAAGCACAACCGGCCTACGACCCGTCAACCAGCGAAAGATTGCAAAGGCTATTCGGAGAGCAATCGGCATCGGCCTCATGCCAAGTGTCCACAGACATCCCGAGATTCTGGCAGCGGAAGCAAAGGCGAGGATGGAGGGAACCCCCATCTATTAGACGTGGGAGCTCGTTTGCGTGTATTCAATATGATGTCGAAATATGCACGGCCGGAGTTGTCTAATTTTCATGTCTTACCACATTTATCAATCCCCAAGATGTTCGCAATGGGAGATACCTGTACTACTACTATTGATTGGATTAAGAAGGGCTATGTTATGGATAGAATCTATACCATCACCTCAGCTATTTACACAATCGGACTTGATTTTTTAGAATTTTAGATCATTCCTGCTTCACTGTTCCAGGGAGTTTTGGTTGTGGTTGCTCAACTGGCTTTCCCCACTAATACCTGCATACGTCAAAGGACCCCGTTGAACGTAGTGGTGGAGTAAACAATCCCCCCATCTTCAGCCTTGTCAACTATCTAGTCTACTCCTTTCCCCCCTGCCCTGTGCGTTTCTATATTATTGATTATTTGTCATTGTCTGCTGGTCCAGTCATGCCCATCACCAATGGTTGACTCCCTCTGTTCCTTGCTCTAAGCGGTATAAATACTGACTGGGCTCGTAGAATCCATCTGGGCCGCGAGCCCCTCCACCACAAGGGGTCAGCCCACCCAGTTATCCTCGGATGCGAAAGGAGAACGTCTGGCTTATGCGGTATGAATATCGTGGTGAAAGCTTTGCTGACTGTCAGAATCAACGATAGCTGATATTTTTGGCATACAGTCCGGTAAATCGATCTTCTTGCGTTCGATCGATAACCCCTCCATCGCTAGGCAGTATACCGAACACAAGGCACAGACGACAGTTGCTCGCTTCTCGCCTTCTGGCTTTTACGTTGCCAGTGGTGACGCTACTGGTCTAGTAAGAGTTTGGGATTGCGTCGGTGAAGGAACCACAAAGGGTGAATACAGCATTGTTAACGGTCGTATCAATGATCTCGCCTGGGACGGCGACTCTCAGCGCATCATCGCCGTTGGTGATGGAAAGCAGAGATACGGCCACTGTATCACTTGGGACAGTGGCAACACTGTTGGTGAGATCTACGGACATACACAGCAGATCAATTCCGTCTCCATCAGGCAACAGAGACCGCTGCGAGCGGCTGCCGCTGGCGACGACAAGAATCTAGTCTTTTACCACGGAGCGCCGTTCAAATTCAATACGGGTATCAGGGACAAGCACACCAATTACATATACGGAGTTGGATTCAGCCCCGATGGTTCGACATTGGTTAGTGTTGGTGCCGATCGAAAGATCTGGCTCTACGACGGGAAGACTGGCGAACCTAAAGGTCAGATTGGCGAAGAAGAGCATAAAGGAAGTATCTTCAGCGTGTCATGGTCGAAGGACTCGAAGAAGTTTGTCACCGCGAGCGCTGATCGAACCGTGAAAATCTGGGATGCGGAGGCTGGCAAGGTCTGTCAGAGCTGGACCTTGGGAGAGGAGGGAAGCTCCAACGTCCGCGACCAGCAAGTGGGTGTGGTTTGGCCTTCCGGCAGAAGCGACAATCTGCTTATTAGTCTATCACTCAGCGGCGACCTGAACTACCTTGTTGAAGGGACGCCTGAGCCTAGACAGGTAATTCAAGGTCATCAGAGAAGCATAACATCCTTGACTCAATCCCGCTCTGAGGCTAAGGACGAGACACTGTGGACCGGCAGCTTTGATGGAAGGGTATGCAGCTGGGACGTATCCACTGGAGCTGCTGAGGAGGCGGACGGGGACTGCCATTCGGCATATGTCGCAGGTCTCGCGTCAACACAGGAAGGAACTGGCAGGATCTACAGTGTGGCTTGGGATGATACGTTGCGGTCCGTCGATGTCGGCGCCAGAACATATACTGGAAGTAACTCTAAGCTCTCTGGACAGCCCAAGAGTGTGGCCGCCGGTGACTCGACAGTTTTGGTGGGTACATCCGAGGGCGTCGAGATCTATAAGGATGGAAAGAAGACCGGCGATTTCAAACCAAAATCCACAGTTACTGCTGTCGCGGCTCGTGGCAATGTCGCGGCGGTTGGAGGCGAAGATTCAACCGTGCAGATCTGCGAAATTTCCAACTCGAGTCTGTCTCCAAAGACAGACATTAAAGCCTCTCGGAACCCAGTGTCTGCTCTGGCATTTTCGCCCGATGGGTCTCTGCTGGCCATTGGTGACTCGCGAGGCCGCGTGCTCGTGTACCAGGTGGCCGACGGCAGTCTGGTCACTGATCGTTGGACAGCACACACAGCAAGAATTACTTCTATTGCCTGGAACGAAAGTGGCACGCTCCTAGCGAGCGGTTCTTTGGATACGAACATCTTTGTGTGGAGTTTAGCCAACCAAGGAGATTGGTTGCAAGCGTCCAACGCTCACAAGGAGGGTGTCAATGGTGTTGCCTGGCTTGCAGGCGGGTCTAGGATTGCCTCTGTCGGCGCTGATGCCGCAGTCAAGGTTTGGAAGGTAGAAGGGTTGGAATAGGATCATCTCAATGCGCCAGGCGATAGTGAAGGTCATCATTAGAGCTCGTATTACTTGATTGCTAACCATCCTTCATGCTTCAGATTCTCGATAGATACATTGCCAGAATCATACCATAACATCTGCACATATTATCTTTTGTTCGACTACATCTTAATTGTAGCAATATTTATAAGCGTTCTTTTGTCTGAGCGCGTAATCGTGGCAGTAGCTATGTACGTATCACTGGTATCACTACGTAATGGCGGCTGGCGCGTGCTCCACACCGGCCTAAAGCCTAAAGTGGACACCCCCAAAGTGATCGCCCAAACAGTCCAGTCCGCCGCAGCGTCGAGAAAGTTTCTGTTGAACATATGCGACTCAATACCCAATAATACTGAATAAGTTCACAGTAATGGGCTCTTTCGTGTGCCTTACGAAAGGCAAAGGACAATGAGGTGGTAACATGTCTCTGTCTGGGGACTCGTCTAGAGGTTCCCGTCGCTTTCTGCGCCCAACGAAGGTAACATGGATCGCCCTCCACAGCTCCCAGATGTAGACAGCGGTAATTTCTAACTTTTGTATTTCATGCAGCTTCGACAAGCGACGTTTGTTCTACCAAAGACTGGTCAACGCTTAAGAGGGCTTGTCAATCTACGCAGCTCACATATTGCAACCAGCAATGATGATGAGGAGCGACGGGGCCTTCTCTCCGGGGAAGTCTCCGCGAACCGTCAGGACGTTCTATCACGGATTTGGAGTCGACTTTCGGACGTATGGCACTGGACGCGTGATTTTGTCACCTCCGAGCCCGGAATAGGGGTTTTAAAGTGCAGTTTGGCCTACATACTCGGGTCTCTTGCTACTTTTATTCCCGCGGTTGCGGCCTTCCTGGGCCATCAAGATGGCAAGCATGTGGTGGCTACTGTCACAGTATATTTCCATCCAGCGCGGACACAAGGCAGCATGTATAAGGCGCTAATTTGCGCTCTCTTGGCCTTCCTATACGCAGCCTTCATTTCCCTAACGAGCATGTGTGTTAGCATGTTCTTCCAGGATACGCTGGGCATGCGCGCAGTTGGCCATGCCGTTGTCCTTATAGTGTTCTGCGGAGGTGGCTTGGGTTTCATAGGATGGACGAAGCAAAGATTCGGCGATCCGCTTGTGAATGTAGCCTGTTCCCTTGCTTCGCTTGCGTCGATCACCGTGTTGACGAAAGAAGGTGCGGTGCAAAGCGGAGATTTGTCCTTCACCAAGGTCGTCCAAGTCTCGAAGATGGTCATCATGGGCGTCACCGCTGCCATGGCCGTGTCATTCTCGATATTCCCCATTTCCGCGCGGAAAAAGCTACGCTCGAACCTCGCTATTGTGACTGAGACTCTGGCAATCATGCTGGCCCTCATTACGGACAGCTTTCTGAGTGGCTCTGAGGAGGAACTCCAGACGACCGAGTTCCTCGACGCAGCTGAGAGCCACAAAAAGGCATATGCCCAACTCGATAAGCTTGTCCGAGAGGCAAAGCTCGAGCACTACGTCGCGGGGACAGAGAAGGAATACAGACTAGAAAAGAACTTAGTTCGATGGGTCCAAGATATCACACACAATATGGGAGGACTACGCAGTGCTGCTTCGCTGCAATTTCAACTTTTGAAGCAAGCGAAGCTGGTTGATCCAGTATCTTGCCGCGATAGAAAGCATGCGCCCAATGGTACTGACCATGTGCCGTCGCCAAGTCAGTACTCCTCGCACGGGCACAGTACACTTCTCGAATCAATTGAAGAGATGCCTGAACAACAACTTGGAGGAGAGGAAGAGGCAGCAGCTGAAGATGATCACCGACACAGTGGAGACCACTCTGATCCTAATCCGGCCCGAGACGAAGGATCTTCTGACGAGCATACCCTTCAACCCGAAGACTTGTTTGCGCTGTTCATCAGTCACTTAGGGCCTTCTATGGTATGCCAATCTCTTTGTGGTTGAACCACGCTGAGCTTATGCTAACGGTCAACAGCGGTCCCTTGCTTTCACCTTGAAAGAAATTTTCAAAGAGATCCCTTTTACGCCTGCGCCTGACTATAAAGTCTCTGTCAACAGTAGGTTCCATGGTAGTCTTGATCGCGCGCTGGAACTTTATCAAGAATCGCGAGAGAAGGCTCTGAAGGTTATCTATCGGCAGAAGGAACTTTTACAGATCCAAACGCCGGAGGTAGAAGCGGATCTCGAGGAAGTTTCTGCCAGCTGCGGTCATTTCAGTTTCTCACTACTGGAATTTGGCGAACAGCTGAAAGACCTGCTGCGTATCTTAGACGAACTACAACTCGAAGCCGAGGAGAGACCTAATGGGAGATCATGGAGCTGGTTGAAAGTATGGCGGTTGAGAACAGCCCAAACCCAGAACACGAAGCCGCTCGATTCCGGTAAGTTCTGTCAAGCTGGCACAAGCGCTTCTTATCTACTTGGTCCTAATGGAAAGATCGTACAGAACAACCGTTACTTGGGCCAACGGTAGGAGAAGGCGTGACTCCTGTGGCCTCTATCAGTCCCTTTGGACTGGAAGGTAGACGGACACCTCCAACAAAACGCCCGGAAAAACCGCCCGCGAAGGAGCGCCTCAGTTATCGAATCTGGAAATCGCTTGGAGTATTCCGACGTGAAGACACAAAGTTCGCGATCAAGGTCGGCACAGGAGCAGCCCTGTACGCTTTGCCGGCCTTCCTTGAATCCACACGGCCTTTCTATTCTCACTGGAGAGGTGAATGGGGCTTGTTATCCTATATGTTGGTGTGTTCTATGACAATCGGGGCGTCCAATACCACTGGTTATTCTCGATTCCTAGGTACATGCCTAGGAGCGATCTGTGCCATTACGGCATGGTACGTGACCGATGGGAACGTGTTTGGACTGGCCATTCTCGGTCTGGTCATGGCAACTTGGACATCTTATATAATCGTTGTCATGGGGAAAGGACCGATGGGTCGATTCATTATGCTCACCTACAATCTTTCTGTACTGTACGCGTACTCATTGACGCAAAAAGAGGGTAGAGACGACCAGGACGAGGGTGGCGACTCTCCCATCATCACCGACATAACGCTCCATCGAGTGGCAGCGGTTTTGTCTGGCTGCGTCTGGGGCATCGTCATTACGCGCCTCATTTGGCCTATTAGCGCGCGCAAGGAGCTTAAGGACGGCCTGAGTCTGCTATGGCTTCGTATGAGCCTGATCTGGAAGCGCTACCCGTTGTCCCTACTGGCGAAAGGGGAAAGTTCCACAGGCTTTATGACTCCAAGAGAGAAGCTGGAGATTGAGCGGTTTCTGTCCCGTCTGGAAGCTCTTCAAGCTGCAGCTCGTGCAGAGTTCGAGCTAAAGGGTCCGTTTCCCGATGCTGCATACAGCAATATACTCCGTCGCACAAGGAGCATGGTGGACGCGTTCCACGCCATGAATCTAGAGATGATCAAAAATGTGCCTGCTTCGGAAGGTGAACTGGCTCTGCTCAGTTATACAGCTCAGGAAAGAGAGCATTTGTCTGCTCGCATCAGCCACTTATTATCAGGTAGACTCTTGCACATCCCTAACACTTTGCTGTGTTCTAGACCAACTGACACTTGACAGTCATGGCGTCTTCTATGAAATTGGAATATCCGCTGATCGATGTACTTCCGAACATTGAGCATGCAAGAGATCGACTTCTTGCCCGAATATTTCACTATCGCAAGGACCCCAAGGCTTCTCGGCTGACAACAGACGAAGATTATGCCTTGCTCTATGCCTACAGTAAGTTGAGCCTGGTCCCTTTCCGTCACTCATGAACGCATGGGCGCTCTATGGAGCTGCATATTGCAAATTGACCTGACGTCAACTGACCTTAATTGTAGTTTTGGTGACAGGTCAATTATCTACCGAGATTGTGGAGATTATGGAAGAGATTGGTAGATTATTCGGTGTGCTCAATGAGAATGTAGTCAAGTTAGTTTACTAGGCGTATCCTGACCGAAACTCTTTGGAGCTCTATACGTAATTCACCAATGGCCCGTTACTTCTTGAATCACCAAGGTATCTCTGTAGCATTGTCCTCTCTGCGATCTCTACGCCTGGCCGCAATTGCGGTCGGTTGTCGTGACTGGGACCTCATCTTTCTGCTTTTGGCGGGGAAGTCGTCCACCTCCACGATTCACCCCCGACCTCCTTCCATCGCCTCGGTCATCAACGTGCCGCTTTTTCCATCGAGATCTCGCCCATCTGTGCGATCCTTTATCATCCGCTACCTCCAGAGCAAATCGGGGGCCAGTTTAATGGCATATATTCTCATTAATGAAGGCCTAGTTCTCCCCACTTCCGGCTTCGCGCAGCCCGTCGCGCCTCTGCGAGCCTTGCAATCATGCAGATCGATCCGGCAGCCCTGAGTCGGACAGACTCTGCATCAACTGCGACAGCATCATCCAAGACCGCAGCACCTGGCCCTGCGACGACACAAAAGTCTACAAAGGCTTTAATATCAGTTCCGCGATTGGATCTCGAACCTATCTACACGGAACTAAAAGCCGCTATCGGTGAAAACTGGGCTGAGTACAAAGAATCTACAACTCTATTCCTTCTGGGTATGTGCGCCTGCTTCCTGCTTGCTTCACTTCGCTTCTTTTGCTGGCCATGGAGCTGACAATTGATACTCTGTGGCAGGACATCTCAATCAAAATGAGCTCGCGTCGCGCGTTGATCACATAATTTGCGCCGACCAGAAGACCGAACACCTTCATAACAATTTTATATGTGCGATCATAGGGAACCTCACAAGAGATCTCCCCGACCATGGCGTGGCGAGTTGGGTGTCAGCGAACGACAAGCCGTCGGTCGTATCGAAACCCTCCTCTGGAGATGCCGCGGAGGCAAGGTTGAAGACAGAGGTTATGCAATTACCTCCCAGAGACCGTCGGCGAATAAAAGCTATTCCAGAGGTATGTCACCAGGAATCCTGTGGATTATGACGGGCTCTGACTTTGTTGTCATAACCAGCGTGACCCTCATGAGGTCGTGCCCAATGAAGTGGAAGAATATCGTCTCGCGAAACAGATCAAGCTCCCTAGCCAAGTCCCAGCTAGTGCTGGGGGTTTGAATAAAACAAGTAAGTTCATACACATCTTGAGCATTACTTCCATCAAGCCGGACTAACTGGTCGGTGTCCGCCAGATTGGGAGTTAGAGATTCGGAAACGCTACGCGCAACCCTTGGCATCGGAAACAGGCGAGTTTCCAGACGCCGAATCAATACATGCGCGAATGATACCGATATGCTATGAGGAGTCTGTAGTTAGCGGGGCAGGCTTCCCGTGTGCTGAGTTTATGGCGATTGCGACAGAGACTTTCGTTAAAGAAGTACTATCCGTGGTGTTTTCTCGTACCAGGTGCAATGGCCCGTCGGGCACGATCAATGGCATGATGATGCGCAAATATCGACAGCAACTTGAGCTAGAGGAACTAGCCTATACTCGCGGCGAGATTGTTAAAGACAGCGCGACTGGGCTTCTGCCCGTTGAGGCCAGGGAGGCTAGGAATCGGAAGCCTCTCGGGGTTCGCGATCTTCGACTAGCGCTCGAAATTGGAGGAGGAGTGCTCAGTCATATGCCTCTTATTGTCGATCATATTATGGGAGGTTATTTCGAGGATGAATTGGAGACCGACAAACAAGAACAAATCGATGAAGTTGCCGACACAGCTGATAATGACACAAGACCGATCCAGTTCACAGATGAAATGGAAGTGGAGGACGATGCAGATTTGTTGGACTGGGAAGGAGCCACCGCGGTAGATCGGGCTCAGTTGGGTTCGTTACTAGATGAGTGTCTTTCTCTGGCCTCATGAGCATTCATTTGTTGACTTACAGTCGGTCTCCCTGGCTGTTACATCTATGATGGCCTCTAATGGCCTCATCGGTCAACCAGCTCCCCCTTCCCTTTGTTCTCCTTCCCCTTCCTCCTCACTTTTCACTTCATTTATTCTTTCTTAGTTGCATGTGCTTAGCATGTTTCTACTACTGCCTAAGGACTGCAGCATGCCGGTCTGGACAGGTGGCAGCTGTTAAGGTGTCTTTGGAGTCACGAAGGACTGTTGTCATTGGTTGGACATCATGAGTTTGCATTTGGCATGGAGTTCGAACTGAGATGTCTGTTGTACTATTTCTTTCCGCCTTTTCTCTTGTTGTCCCTGTGTTTGTTTAATGGTGGAGTTTTGCTTCCTAGGCTTCTGCTTTTAAAGCGACGTCGAAAGACATATCAAGGTTCGCACAGCCTTGGCAGCTTATTCTGAAGGGATGTTATGCGTCGATGGTGAAGAAGAGATGGAAATGACAGTGCTTGGATGTGCTGCGAGTCGCGTTTGATACCCAGGACTCGGTTAATTTACTGTTCTCTTTAGCTTTGTCTTTTTTCGTTTTCGTTCCCCCGCCTCTCTCTTTTCAGATCAGGGTATGTCGGGCGTCAAATTCCATCTTGGCCCTTTGTGATGAGAAGATATGAAGCTTTCCTAAGTGGGAATTGCTCTGTATGTCGTTCTCTGAGGCGACTTCCTCTTCACCTTGCTGTATATTACTAGAATTACTCTTGTGATAGTTTTCACATTGATCTATCTATTGATAATGGGTGGCCTTACATCGCAGTAGCACATCGCACTGGTTAACTGTATCGCTCATCAGATGTAATGCTGTCATTGCTTTATAAGATTAATGTGTAGATGTCTATCATTTCTGCTTCTAGAAAGCATTCTCATCAGTTATTCGAGCTTGCTATTCTCCACAACGCCAAATCCGTGATAGCATCAATGTCTCGGCTGAATAATGCGAATATAAAACCTGATAGTGTACATTTAATTTACTGTGTGAGACGGTCTGCAACCATCTTGAGAATCTCTTCTGTCGACTTGCGTGCGTTGGCTGGATCCTTGGCCACAGACTGCCAAACCTCACCATGTTTGGGCTCAGTTGAGACGCACTTGGCCACAACGTCCGCTCTTTTTTCCTGTACGAGGAGTCACGTTAGTCGCAAGACATGATTGCAATAAATCAGAAACGGACGAAGATGAACGAACCTCTGTACCATGCTGCAGCAGGAATTTGTAGTACCAAGCCCAGCCGTCGCCGTGATCGCTGTCCGAGACGATGGCTTTCTCGAACCACGTCATGGCTTTTTCCAGTCGACGCTCACCCCAAAATATACGAGCTACCGTGATGAACAGGATCGGATCGTTATCCACTTTCTTGATCGCCTCCAAACTACGGGCCTTCCGTTGCGCCCGAGGTTCGAGATGCCAGATACTCTCGCTCCATAGTAAACCGGAGGTCGGAACTTCCTGCAGAGCCTTGGCCATCAAGACCTTGGCCTGTCCGATATTATTTGCACGCCGTTCCACACGGACACTCTCTGTCCATAACTCAGCGCTCTTTGGGACGGCAAGGCGTGCCCTATCGAGAACTGAACGAGCCTTGACTACGGCACCGGACTTCTCTTCAAGTCTGGAGGCCAAGAGCCAAAGCGGCACTGACTTGGGACAAGCTCTGGTACCAGTACTGTAGGCCTCTCTGGCTTGTGGATATTTGTTCTGGTATTCGTAGATTTGCCCCTTCATCATCCAAAGTTTATCGGCCTTGGGATACAGCTGCAACCCCTGATTCACCAGATCAAGCGCCTCGTCAATGTTGCCCAGTTGCCGTTCAAAGGCGACACTCTTGATCCAAACACGGTCAGTGCCAGCTTCCCGTCGGGCCGTTGCGAGGAGTTCCCTAGCTTGATCTGTCTGGTCCGCGTCCGCTTCCAATTTGACAGCGGCGAGCCAGATGTCCTCATTGTTCGGATTCTGATTGAAAGCCCGCCCGAGCACCCGTCGAGCGTCGTCGATCTCGCCAGCTTGCCACTTCTCCTTCGCAAGCTGGAGCCACAGCTCTTCGCTTTGAGGGCATGCCTCCACTGCCTTCTCAAGGACTTGCCAGAGCGCCTCTTTGGAGCCATGGTTACGCTCCAGGTCGGCAGCTGCGAGCCAAATAGATCGACGGTTGACAAAGACACGCAATGCATAAGCATAAATTGCTCTTGCAGTCTCGTATTTGCCCCTGGCGATACTGCCCTTCGCATCGTCCATCCAGATATCCTTGCGGTCATCGTCTTCATCAAGCCCCCATCCGAGAGTTTCGCGGATGATTGCGCCACACGTGAGGATGGCTCCCTCTTCCTCGCACTTCTCAGCTTCCGCAATCCATTCCTCTCTCTTGAGCATGGCATTTTCCCTTGCCAGCGCTTGGACTGCCCTCTTCATCACATTGACCTTATCGAAAGTGCCCATTTGCTCCTGTAATCGTGCAGCCGCGATCCAAACTTCATGACTCGTAGGGACGGCCTTGCGAGCAGCATTCAGAACCTTTTGTGCATTTTCAGGAGTTTCTAGACGGGCAAGAGCAAGCCATAACTCAACAGACAAAGGGATCATTTCGACTGCCTTCGCCAGTAAAAGACGTGCATCGGCGGGATCTTCTTCCAGGTTCACGGCTTCTTTCCAGATGGTAACAGACTGGGGCACGTGGAGAATAGCTTGCCTAAGCACATTCTTTTTCGCGCGAGTGTCGGACTCCAGTCTCATGGCCTCAATCCAAAGTCTTGTGGAACGATCATTATTCTTGATCGCATTGGCTGCAATAACCTTGGCATTGTGGCCTTCGTTCAAACGAATATTTTCGAGCCACGCATCCTCGCTCTTCGGGCAGAGTTCGCAACCCTTGGCAATGATGTTCCTGGCGGCCACAATTCTTCCAGCAAGTTCTTCCAATCGCGCAAGTGCAATCCATCCAGGAGCGTGCTTAGGATTCGTTTTGGTTACAGATTCCAATAAGACACGCACTCGCTTGATGTCGCCAATCTCGACTTCGCCCGCTTTCAACTCCGACTGCGTCAGACTTGTGAGATATCCTTTCGGGTCGATGTTGGTCGCACTCCCGGAGGAGGAATCAGCAGTGGAACCCCGGGCGGCTTGATCAAGCCTGACCTTAAGCACCTTATCACGGGCAGCACTAATATCCGCAAAGTTCGTCATCGTGCCGTCCGCCTCGCCTCCACGTACATCCGTCTGGGTACCGTCGTCGGCTATGGTGGTTTCGAACTGAGTGGAGTCCCTTGCACTGGCAATAACGCTGTCTGGTACCGCATAGAAGCGCTGTCGTAGGTTCTGCTTAGCTCTTCGATTCTTCCCCGTGAGGTCTCCGACTTCCGGAAGATTGGCCCATTGCTCTTCTGAAACAGAGGCTAGTGAGCGCTTCAGGTCGGCGAACTGTTGTTGGATTTTCGGATTTTTGCGTTCATATTCTTCACGTTCTTGACGTTCTCGAGCTTCCCTATAGGTGGCGAAGGAATCAAGTCGGTCGTCTGTCCAAAACAACGGGGGGTAACCCGATGAACAACGCATCTCCAAGATACAGGAATGGGAGGCATGTACTAACCTTCTTGCTTTCCGGCGCTTATCCATCTTCTCGTCTACTTCTTTGTAAATTCGGTCCGCCTCGTCATCTTCTTGATCAAATTGCCCGTAGGCAAAAAGCCCAACCTCATTGTCCGGATCTTGGAAACGTTCATCCTCCTCTTCTTCCTCTTTCTCTTCTCGTCCACCCTTTTCGCGTCCCGCGCCATATGCGGTTGGGGGAGCTGCTCCGAGAAGTTGCGCTCTCTTTGCAAGAGCGGCCTGAATCTGTTCAGGTGTAGGACCCTCACGCGCAGGTCCTAGGTCAGAACGGGTGGTGAAGCCGGTCGCACCTCTACCTAAACCCGCGACATAATTTTCGGGCGCAGGCTGGTTCAGGAAATCCTTCCGACCTGAGGCCATCTCAACCGAAGCTCAACGATAAAGTAGCTAAGAGATGAAACAAACAGAAGGGCGATGTAAATTGTGATTTGAAGACGCAGAGCTTCGGGTGGCGATGCCAGCAACAAAGTATCTCCGTCCCGCTTATCTTATCAGGATCTCCGCATTTTGAGGTATTCACTGCCAAGATCAGCAGCAGAAGCACAGGCATACGAACAACAAGGAGGGACAGAATGAGACATAGAAAAAAAATTGAAATATTATAAGGGATTTGGATCATGACTCCTAAATCACGCTCAGAAGTTATGTACTAGGTTCCGAATCGATGTCTTGAATGTAATCGTCAGCATTGGAGAAGTGAGCCCTTATATGCTTCATCCCGTCTGTTTTCGAATGCGTGTGGAACTATTTACAATGCAGAAGCGGTTTCTATATCGAACTGTTCAAATCCGCATCAGGACTGGGCTCTGTGCCTTTAATTGTGCTCTAGGTCTTTCTGTGAAGCCCTTTTGCTATTTCAGCAAGTTCAACCCAATGTCTGGATGCAATCTAGTCGAACGACATACTAAACTCCATCGCAGGCCAATTCGGAGACGCGCCTGGCTCTTAAGAAGTCACTTCTCTGGGCTAAAACGGGGTCCCGTAAAAATCACATCGCTGAGCAAATGCTGTCCAAGGTTATGCATGGACGTAAGTGATGCTACTAGCACGAAAAGAAAGGCTCTCCGGAGAATTAAGCCAACGATCAGCTGGCAATAAGATGCGGATTTATCAAAGACGCGCAGCGTGAGGCAAGGCTCAAACTGTGGGATCGTTATAGTAAGTGTGAAAACTTATTAGATATTTCCAGATAGTTGACCGGTGCTCTCATAGAAACGCTCCACCAAATGAGCTTTGTCGAAGGTGAGATATGTTGGATAGGGTTGTTGATGCTTTGAGAGGATGGCAAGCGGCGAGACGACTATATGCGGCCCTGCAGATAGACCTGGGAATAAGACAGCCAAGTGGGTGAGTCTCGTCTGGGATGCGAACACCGGAAGGGACTTGTCCGCTGCAGGTGAGCCCCGATCTCGGCGAGGATGAGGGGTAAGGCGTGTTTCCAGCGACGGAGGGGCATTCTATTCGAGGCATGGTTGACGGCGGAATTGAATGATATATGCTGTCATTGCAGGCCGTTCTCAGGAGATCGATCGCCAGCAGGGCGTAGATGCGCACGGGAGTCCTGGAACAAACTCTGCCAGATAAAGGCTTCACTGAGTAGGAGTTCAATGTCCTTTTCAGTCCAGTCCCTTGTTGGAAGTGCCTGTAAGAACATCATGATTTCCTGCGCACAATTAGATCTCGACGGAATTCTAGATGTGAGTGATATCAGAACCTACCTGAAAGTCCATTTTGATCAACTGGTCTGACCACTTGACGAGAAACGCTGCGCAAACATATACGTGGAAGCGCGAGAAGCCCTGCTCCTCAGCCTGACAATGAGTTAATATGATTCCGATGCTATGAGCGCCGCTCGGGCTATCGAACATACCATGTAGGTGTCCCACATCCGTATGGTGTTCTGGACACTCATCTCCCGCATCAGCAAGCAGTTCATCCATCGGAAACTGAATTGCATGAATTCGACTCCTTCGTTTTCAAGATGTTTGGCGAGCGTAGAATCGATACGCATGGTCAGGTCGCGCAAAGCTCTCACTTGCCTGTGAATCCCCGGTTGAGCATATATATAATTATCCTGAATTCCATCAAGAAGTTTCGTGAGGCACCAGAATGAATCCGCCTCCACAGCATCGAGCACACTCCGCGGCAATTGGCCTGGATCCATGTCTTCTTCCACATTGAGATCCGTCATGTACATGCCGAGAAAAACCTGCCAAAATGGAGTGACAAGGTCATTGATTCCTTGTACATAACCGCTGGCAGGATGTCGGATGGCCCAGACATAGAGGATTCGCTCCAAGGAGCGTTGTGTAGCTTCATAGCCGTAGAGTTGAATATGAGGGCTGGTGCGAGGAACGTCAATACTAATTTGATGCCATATCGCTTCATCCAGGCCTCTGCCGCGACCTGTGGAGGAAGCTGGTGGATTGCCGGGAGACGGGGTAGTGCTGCGTTCGAAAGCCTGTCGGACTCCGTCGAGATATTCCTTGCGCTTTCTCTCTAGTGTAGAAACCCGCCGTTCACTGTTCGTCGGAAGATAGCCGAGCAGGATTTGCCAAGTCATGGCGCGAACTTCCGCAGGGATGCCAGACCATGCCAGATTTCTCAACTCTGATAAGGAAACGGTGCTAGTCTGAAGTAGACGTTTGAATTTGTTGATTCTTGAGATTCTGCTCGAGTATATTTCCACCTCCTTTGGCGACCCATTCTTCGGCGGCGGTGCATGATCAATCAGATTTAAAGCGTTCGCAGGATCTAAAGCAGCGACAATCAGCATCTGATCGAAAGTTGCTTCTAGGGGGGCTAAGTACCTCTTAGGATGTCTTTGTATTGGGGCCGTAGGATTTTACCCTCACTCTTTCTCGTCGTTGGATACATAGACACTCCGCGCTCCTCGGCGATATCCGAACTGTTTGCACGTTGTCTACTGTTCGCCAAGTTGACTCCCAACGTTGAACTGTTGGCACGCACAGCGCTACCCAAATCAGATGTTTTGAGCTGAGATTTCATGGCATTTTTGGTCTGTTTTTTCCGCATACTCGCAATGCTGGGAAGACCAAATTCGTCCTCATCATCGTCGTAAACAATATCCTCCTCATCACCCTCGTCAGTATTGTCACTCGCCCCATCTGCCGAGTCGGGGTACCATAAGTCGACTCCTCGATTCACAAGGCCAGAGTATGAGGTACGGGGAGACGTGACCCATGTCCCTGATCGATGAGAAGATGGGGAGACATGCTGCGATTGGGTAGATGACGACTTTGGAGGTGTACGAGGTCGCGCTTGCTGCTGTGGTATGCCTCTGCAAAGATCGCTCTTGGTCAGTTCATAGGCTGAGGACAGACCAGACTAGAGATGACAAACTTTAAGATATTCGCGTGAGAGTATGAAGCGCCAACGATCGTGGTTGGGGTAGATGAAGGTCCTTGAGGTTGAGACACTGATCTGCCTTTCCAGAAGGGAGAGCCAGCCCGTCTTCGAGGAAGGTCAGCAATTGCGCAAAAACTACAGGAAACAAGTGAAAGAGCACATATTAATGCTCAACGTGATGGAGGTAACCTCTGTTAAGAAATGAGTCTGGGAACGTACTCGGAACGATCTGCATGAGGCAAACGAGGAGATATATCAGCCACTGAATTCGGAATTATGAGACATGGAGAACTATTGAGGTACGAACCAACCTGGACCATCTCCTGTTTACAATCAGTTCTCGATCAGCCTCGGGCGACAATAACGACTGTGCTGAGAGACATTGCATACCTGCTGCTGACCCTTCCTAGCAGCCATCGTCATGAACTGTCTGGGAAGAGGAATTGATTCGATGAATGGGGATCCAAAATGTCATCGGAAGCAGTTTGTACGGCGTCGGGAGAAAGTGTGGGGGAAAAGGGAACAGTTGATGCGGCAATGCTCTGGGGTGCTGGAATAGTCGACTGTGTTCACCGAATTCAATGGCAATTGTGGGCGCAGACTGGTTTGATGACGATTATTATTATTCAAAAGGCCATTATGGTATTATTAGAGAAGAGAGATGTATATATTGGTCTCCGGCAGTTGTAAGAGGGAGAGAGTTTCGTACAGGATACTACTACCACTAATGCTGACGCGAGCTTTAGCGGTCGCTTGTCTCTGTCTCCTCCCTCTTGACCTCTTCCTCTCTTCCCTCCTTCATCATCACTGTCAACCAACTCAACCGCTCTCCAATATCTTCCCTTCCACTTCGCTATCGACTGATTTCCCCTTCTTCCTTATTTTTTCTTTTCCTTCCCTTCTCATTCATTATCAAACGTAACGACTATTCGTCGCACTTTATCTAGTCCCAGCTCGTATTCATTTGACTTACGTCTCGAGACACTCAGATCAGCTTCACTAACAAAATCTTTGCTTCCATACTCACGCAAATATATTCTCAAACAGACAGCTTGTTAGCTTTTCTCTTTCCGAGGCTTTCTTCTCATTTTGTAACATACATTCAATATGGCTGAGCCAGGGGATGTAGAGGAAGATCTCTTTGCTGATCTGTAAGACTCTTGTTCGCACATGATTTTCGAGGCGTTTTCTGACTCCCTTCTTCCTAGGTATGACGCGGATGAGAATACGAACCAGACGTCTTCAGCTCCCAAGATTTCCGACTCCACAGTGTCGCCCGCGCCTGCCCAAGCAACGACTTCCCCTGCGACACAGACTGCAGAGAATTTCAAGTCAGAGCCAGAAGACGGTCATACCGCGGATTCCTACGCGTATTCGTATGAAGGACATCAAAGAAATGGCTCGGGCATGTATGATACGAATCATACCACCAATGTTACTGCCGCTCCCACGACCGAACAAGAGCCTCAGGGCACCGGAATCAAGGAAGATGGGTAAGTTAGTTCTCTGTATTTCACGTTGTACAATCTTGGATTTTCCCCCTTTATTTTCCCCTCTATTGTTCTACACCATTGCGTCGAAGACCAGACGTATCGTCTACTGGAGCAAGTGAGTGAGCACAGTGAGCACATTCAGGGCTCGCAGTTGCCCGGCCGTTCTGGGTGCATTCGCTCTCACAACGACTCGCGTCGCACTAGGCTGTCACGCACTAGTACTAGTCGCTGCGCAAGATACTTTTCCATTCAATGGGTTGGATCAGGCGATCCTGTGGGGTAGGAGACGCTTATCAAACTGTGTCGGCGTGGTGAGAGAGACGAACGATGACAATTCTCTGAACTTTATCGGATTAGCCTCAAACTTGGCGGTTCTCATCTGTCGGAAGGGGACGAAGCAACCAGTCGTCTCTGGGCAGAGACAAAGATATCATTCGGTTGCGTCAGATTTAGCTATAAAGGGCGGTCTGATGAGTTCATGGTTATCTCCGAGACCAGGCTCGAGGGAGATATGTATGGTCGAGTCAACATCGACATGAAGTTTACAGTGAGAAAGATATCACACACACACTACGAGACCTTGTTGCGAGCGACTACTAGTACAGACGCTATCAGATAGCTTCTTGTCGATATATCTTGATAGAGCAGAGCAAGGAATAGAGGCCTTGGCTGTCTGGTGGATCACTATCGAACAGTTTTACTACCTAGCTTCGACCCTATTAGACAGACAGTCGGAGGGTCATTGGTCAGACAGAAAAAAGAAGAGATTCAGTTGTCTATATTCCGCCTCTCGCGCTTCAATCCGTGGTCGTTCTATCACCATCACGACTCATGCCACTCGGCCTTGGAGCATATTCCTTTTGCTCTACTCCCGCTGGATTATCCGTAAACCAGTGGATGTCGATGACTAGAGATGCCTGCTTTTCACCCTGAGCAGTTCTGTCCAACGACTGTCACAGTCAATGTATGCATGTCATGAACCATTCCCGAGCTGGCTGTGAGACAAGCCTGCGCACTTGTTCGCGTTACCGGACGACACCAGTACAATGCAACCCGCTTGCTGTTGCTACTCATTTTCGGATTCCTGCATATATTCAATCACATAGCTACTGGTGCTCAAGGGAGCGCTACGGTATCTGCGTTAGAATATCAAGGATAGCAGCACCGTGCACTGCGTTTGCAGACAATAACAATGCCAGTCGGCCTACCATCAAACGAGTCCTTGATCACGATTGTTCTGGGATCCTGTCCTGATTTGTTTTACTGGGTCTTCGTTTCTCGCGCTCATTTGTTTATTTGAATTCATCGGCTTTGACAGTGCTTTGTTTCGGGTTAGATGGATGCATTTACTGACGATCTGGTTGATTAGGAAGATGTTCATTGGTGGTTTGAACTGGGAGACAACAGACCGTACGTGGAGTCTTAATATCATTGCAGCTTACTCAAGTCTCTTACAGCAGTCTGACATAACGAATAGAGTCTCTGAAGGACTACTTCTCCCAGTTTGGTGAGGTCCAAGAGTGTACTGTCATGCGGGACAGCGCTACTGGTCGCTCTAGGGGCTTCGGCTTCTTGACCTTCAAGGATCCAAAGACTGTCAACACAGTGATGGTCAAAGAGCACTACCTGGATGGGAAAATTGTAAGACGCATATTCTGTCTATTCTGTCGCATGCACCAAAAGTGATCAAAGCGGATCGGCCGTATGCTAACGCACTGGCAGATTGACCCTAAGCGTGCAATTCCCCGTGACGAACAGGAGAAGACGAGTAAGATTTTTGTTGGTGGTGTGAGCCAAGAGGCAACGGAGCAGGAGTTCAAGGAGTTCTTTACGCAATTCGGCCGTGTTATTGATGCTACCCTGATGATCGACAAAGACACCGGACGTCCTCGCGGGTTCGGGTTTGTGACGTTCGACAGTGAAGCTGCTGTCGAGGCTGCTCTGTCCCGTCCTTTGGCCATATGTGGGAAGCCGATCGAAGTCAAGAAGGCTCAGCCAAGAGGCAATTTACGCGACGAGGAAGATCGCAGGAACCGTCGCGGCAGAGATTTCCGCGATGGAGGTCATGGTGGCGTCGATGGGTCTCAGCAGCAACAGGGAATGCAAGGGCAGGCGGGTATGCCTGCAGGTTTGACACCACAGATGATGGCACAGTATTGGCAACGTATGCAGCAATACTTCGCCTTGATGCAGCAGCAGATGGCGGTCGCCGCCGCTCAGGGGCAAGGAATGGGAGCCATGGGGATGGGAGCAATGAACCCAGCCATGATGCAGCAGATGCAACAGATGCAGAAAATGCAGCAGATGCAGATGGCCAACAACCAGCAACAGCAACCGCAGCAGCAGGGCAGCTTGAGCCCTCCCTCGCAAAGCCCGACCCCGCAGATGCAGAACATGATGAACCCTGCAATGATGCAACAGATGCAAAACCAGGTTCAAGGAAACAACATGGGAGCTATGCAGGGCCAGATGGGCAACAACGCTGGGAACATGAACATGGGCGCAAACTACCAGGGCGCTCGGGGCGGACCAGGCTATAATGCTCAAGAGCAGCTCGCATTCGAGCAACAGAAATACGAGCAGCAGCAGCAACAACGCCGGGTCATGGAGTCCCGGGCATTCTCGCCATACCAACAGGGCGGTCCGACATCGTGGGAGGGCATGTACGATGAGGTCCCCCAGCCCAATATCCCCACTGGTCCTCAAGGCATGAGCCGAGCAGGCAGCATTGGACGCGGTACGTATTCTTTTGTCTCGTTACATGCATTACTCCCATCAACGAACGTTTGTATTGTTACATATAGCTAACTTCAAGCTTCAGGAACAACACCACAGCCGACTCCGAGCGCCGCGCCTGCCAACGCCCCAACTGGCCCTAAAAATGCTGGAAAGCCCGGTGCGAACTATCGTGGCGGAGGTCGCGGAGGCCATCGGGGTTTCCATCCTTACTCTCGTGGATAGGATTGGAGCTCGGGATCATTGTCGATTCTTACTTGCCCTCTCGCCTTCTTTTTTGTTTCATCTCTGATATCTGCTTCTTTTTCCGTTTGTTTTGTATTTTCCTGTGTTCGCCTAAACGCAGGTTTGATCCGATCAAGGATATTTGCTCGGTTTCTCCTCCGATCGGCGTACCGCAGAGTGAAAATCTGTTTTGATTTCGTGCTCTTCATCTCTCCCGACGGAGAACACGAGTCTCTGGTCGATTTAGTGACAGCCTTTCCCGCGGAATCCCAGTCATCGTCTGCTTTTCGACCTCATAGCAAACAAGGGTGATTGCAAAAGGGACAAAACGAGAGGACGGTGTTTCTGCATGTTATTTAGAGGCATTACAGTCAGTGTTCATGATTGGTCTCCGTTTCTACTTCAGATGTATTCTAAAAGGCCATTGAGCCCAAACTGCGCTATATGCTTTTGTACGCTGGTCTCGCCGTATCTCGATAACTGCAATGTGAGGGACTCTGGAACATACAATAAATAGGGTGGATATATACATAAAGGCACATACCAGGGGATGTGTTTCTATTCGAGACATACAACTTTTGATCTTCCAGATCGCTGCCTCTAGACAAAAAGTATAGCCAAAAATAAATCACAAGAAGCAAGAATGATAATTAAGGCAATACTGCGGGCTGGCTATGATGAGACAAATGATTGGCACAGGCGAAGGATAGGTATGGATAGGCAGCAAGAATGGCAGAAGATGGTTGCATTGTTACCGTCCATATGCTCCAAATGCGCTAAGATTCATGGCGAAGAAGCAAGGAGAAGGGCAGAAAGAAATTCTGGAAAAATGTGCTGTCTATGCTCCAACAGAAGGCTTTGAAGGGAAGTCAAAGTAACATGAGGTAATATGAACAAATATTCAAACAATGTGGTATCATAAATCCGATCAGATTTGGAAATCTAGTAAGCAAAGCCATAACCCGGGGTAGTGGCATGGTGTCGCTCAGGGGAGCCACGGCTGTCCCTGCTTCGATGACTTTCACGGCTCAAGCTTCGGCCATGTTGATCATCCAGATGGTAGGCAGGCTCTACCAGACGATCTGTGCTGCCCATCCGGCCGTGTTGTGGCTGCGGAACTTGATGATCCCTATAGGGTTCGTAAGGGCCGGTGAAATTGAACTTGCTCATCTCTGCATAGTCTTTCCGAGGCGGGTTATCCATGAGAAGGGATTCTCGAGCGTCCAGAGGAGTAAGATCGTCCATATCACGGTTGAGTTTTTCTAACGACACGTCAGCTATCCGTCGAGAGTAAACGAATTGCGTACGATGAACTTACCAGCTTCTCTTTGCCGCTTAGCATGAGGGTTCTCACGGACACATATGATGATGGCATTGACAGCAATGAGAATCGCCAGAATGCCGGTAAGGCCAGACTGCACTGCGATGAGGACGATACCGGTTACGGTCTTGGTCGTCTGCGAAAGGCCAAGCTCCTCAACAAATACCAGGACACAAACAACCGACAAGACACGAACGACTTGAATCGTTATATTGATCCACTGGGAGGACTTGGCAACATATGGGCGATTCCACAGCAGGAGACCCAGCATAAGAGCTTCGACTATCAGCTGACCTGCAGACTGAACAAGACCATGGCCATTCGCCCCGGCAATGACACAGCCTTTGGCGAACATGTAGACAATGGCGGGGACGAAAAGCCACCAGTAGTCTTTTTTGTAACTGTCGTAAAAGAGGCTGTACTTGCGCCAGGTCTCTCTGTCCTCGTACAGTGCCGACGTATCACCTTCGGTCTTTTTGTATTTTCGGGCCAGATGCATAATACGGAGTCCGAAAAACAATAGCACACCGGTGAAGACGGCAAGCGTGACGGCTGCAAGCACCTTTGCAGCCCACGAGTCCCCGGTAGTCAGTTGATAGATGCAATACAGCACCCACATGCCGTACAAGATGAGGATCAAGTTGGTAATTGTTCTAGCCAGAAGACCCCAATAATCTTTGCGGAAGTCTTTGAGCTTGTCCGGGAACGATCCGTAGAGAGCCCATAGTTCAAGGATGACTTTTAGAAGCAGGATACCCACAGCGATGGCGGCGACGACGATGGCAAAAATCAACAGGACTGTCATGAATGTGTTCGCTTGGGGAATCGTGAGTTGCTCCGCGTAGGCCTCGATGCCAGAAACGGCCTTGTGGAAGGCACTCTCATCGCCCTCAGTCGAATTGCTCGACGTGGTGTCGCTACTGAAAGAACCTGAGAGATCCCTGGTTGCCAGATCGACAGCGCCCACTATCAGATTCAGTCCGCGCTTGACTTTCGAGGTTGTATTCGCCGAGGCACCGTCCGAGTACGTCAAAGTAGCATTGCGAAGAAACTCATAGCTATTTTGAGTGAGATTGCCACCGGTGGCTGCTCTGAAGTTGTCGATGGCCGTTTGCATGTCACCCCACGGAATCAAGCCGGTACTGAAGGCGAAGTTCTTGGTGAAGCTGCGATAGATGGGCGGATAGCTGACACTGAGCATGCCATTGGTAGCCATGCTATGAAACCAACCCATCACGTCGCCGAAACTGGGACTAGACGAAGCCGCTCCCGGGTGGCCAGCCGTGCCCAGGGCAGACAGTCCGCTCAAAGCCAGTGCAGCGCCTGCCACGCCTGCCGCGGCATAGGTGACACTGTGAACTTGCATGGTCTTGCCGTTGGACAGCCCAGACTGAATACAAGCAACCTCCGTCCCATCGTCCTTGGACTTCAGTTCAATTTTGGCGAGACCGTCCAGATCGGGGATCTGGAAGGCAATTGAAGGGATCTGGCTGGCGTACTCTTCCGGGATCTGTTGCGTTCCATTGGCTTTAAATGTGCCTGCGGGGACTGTGCATATATTAGTGGATACTGATTAATGGCCTCCGCAGAAGGATGATACGTACCAGGACAGAGTTGCGCGACGTAGTTCTCGGAGCTGCAAGGATCGAAATCCTTCGAATAGACTTGGTTGCCATATGCAGTCACTGTCAATGATGCAGTAACATTTTGTACTCTCTTGCTTGTCCCGTCAATTTTGAAAACGACCTCTCTCGTGGAACGAGTGTAGGTTACTGATAGCTCCCTGACTTCAACGTCGGAGCTGGTTAAACAAGTCGATACCTCGTTAGTACTGATGGTGTCTGTTGCGAGAGTCCGAGCGACCAAGAAGCTCGATGCGAGCAGTGGAAAGTAGAGGATCCGCATCTTCGAGATTTGATAGTCGTGAGTCTCCAGTCGTTCAAATGGGCTATAAGAACATCAATGTGACGTGGGTTCAACGCTTCGAGACGGATGATCTTTTGCAACCAAAACGATCGATGGGTATTAGTCCGATCCGCGCGGGACTGGAGGTAAAAGAGAAAGGACGTATAGCTCTGCTAATGCCGAAACGATTGAGCTGCAACTGCGCTAGTCGGTCGAAATTCAGAGCATACAACAGGGTCAACCTGTCTCGAATGGTTTATCTCAATACACACAAGTGCTGTGCTAAATGGTGCCGGCAATGAATGTCACTGACGAATGCAGAAAGAGAGTTCACCAAGGAGCGACATGTAAGTTGGTGATTCCTTTAGAAGATTAGAAAGTCCCCATGCCCCTCTGACAAGCAGTGAGTTCTCCCGCACTCTACGCTTGGAATCACTCTTTCTCTCTTTGTTCCTCAAGGCCAGTTGGGACAAACAAAGAGAGAAAAGTGGACTCGGCAGAAGTCGAGAAATGCGAAACGAAATACGAGAGAGAGAAGGACAGGTCAATGGGCAATAGGAGACGACAATACTCAGGAGACACGGAGGAAAGAAAGAAAATTCAAAAGCGAGAGTGTATTTGTGTGGGTGTCGGGTATGAGTGGGAGAGAGTTTCTGATTATTGATTGTCGCTGAGCAATAACACGACTACTGCCTAAAGGTTGGCATGCAGAACGAATGTCCAACAAGAACAGGCAAGTAAAGAAAGAGAGTGAAGTGTCCAAGACAGGAGAACAAGAGCTCTATTAGCAAAGCTTCGAGATGGGGCTAGACAGCTTCATGGGCCACCAGAGAGAGAAAAGATTAGACTTGGGGACGGGATGTACAGAGCAGTACGGAGTACTCCGTTCAAGCCTATGGGTTATTCCAGAACAATACTAAACTGGTACTCTTCGTAGGTAGTCTAATTATATTCATTATTACCACTTGGAGAGTATTCACTGCCAAAATTATCTACCCATACGACCCATAAGGACCAGATCTTTCCACCTACCATTGATTGACAGACAGAATAGTATTCCATCTTTCCATTGGGCGTCTACAGCTACGACGTATCAGTGTGGCCAGTTAGAGGGTATAAGTGTTACCGTATCTGCTATTTATTGGCTTGGGTGGGTTTTATTTGCTGTGGGAGGACGCAGATATGGGCCTGTAAGATACCAGGGAGGTCATCGGCTGGTTCGAGGCTCTGACACTCTGCCCCTGAGTGTTTCATAGTGCGTTGTACAGTCACTGTTCATTGGTTTAATGTCTTCTTTTGATGTGGGTCGTTATTCCTGAATGACGCCACTTGGAGCTATTCTTCTTAGTCTAGACTCTAGTCTAGGCAGGTACAGAGTTGGATATTTACAGGCGTCTGACTGCTATTTTAATCCCAGGATCAGTACGGAGTAAGGTGCTACCTCATAATCAATAATAACGGTACTGGACCAAGGGACGGGATTCCCCTCTGCTAAGGTTAAATAGGTAACCATGGATTGTCATCATCAGGTAGGTAGGTACTTATGTAACTTAGCTGCTGTCAATCGATGGACGATATGATGGTCCTACTAGGCTTATTAACCTTGCTTAAGAGTCAGGTACCGTTCGGTATCCAAGGCAAGCATCACTATTCTGTACTGATAGTTGCAAAAATAGTCGTCTACTCCGTAACCGATAATTTTTTTTCTGGGCTAAACCACTCCACTGCAAGTCCGCCACGCCACAGGCGACTGAGTACGTAGTGTCATACCTAGACCATAGGACAGCAGTAGCGCCGCTGCTATGCAAATTACCGTACATACTGCAGTACTACCTACTTTAGGACTTCGTCCTTACCCGTGGCACAATGAGGATCACTCTTTACCAGACGAAGAATCAATGGTCAATTTCCCCTCTAGAAACCCCAAAAATCCCAGAATTTCACCACAGCGGTAGTCAATTCTTCGGACTCCAATCCAAATCAGGTAAGAATCTGCATGACCTATATAAAGTCGAGCAGCACGTGTCATGATGCGCAGATTCGTCCAGAAACCAAAACCCACCTCAGAGAGCTGAAATCAAAGTTCTTCTACCTTTAGATTTATGGTCTGGTGGTTGCGACCTGCGAACCAGGCGGGAGATGATTATATATATGACTCTACTAAGTATGAGACAGATATGCCCCTATGTAAGACCTCCCCAAGGCCATGGGTCATTGAGATTGCGGCAGAGAAATGGAGTACCTCAGCTTTTAATAAGAGTGGACACTTACGGGATCTTTCAAGTCCTCTCATCTTTTATCCTGTAACTATCCATTGGCAAATCGAACATAGGCATAACTCACAATCAATGTCCTTCGCCTCCTTTGACAATTGACAATACCAGATGTGCCTTCTACCTGCTCTTATGTCTTCCCAGTCCGTCCGCGTCTTGCTTCCTATGCGCACTGTTCATCCTATAAATCAGGGTGTTGCCCTTCCAGTTGAGTAATGAACGGAAGTGACGTAGTTGGCACTATACGAGCCCAGTACTCCCCTGGAATGATTTCTCGTGCTCGATTCACAAATATTATGCTAAACCATAGATAGCTTCTCTTATAGAGCGATACGACCTTTCTCCGCCACTGGCCGTGCATAAGTATATGTCAACATTGACGCTAGTCTGCTGGTGGAAAGAACCGATTAAATTCGACGCCCTATAGGGGGCCGAAGTGAGAGAAGGAAACGGAAAAGAACAAAGAAAGTAAATTATGAAGCACCCCACTTCACTCAATTTGAGACTTGACGGTTGATTGTTGACCCCGTCTGAGTGGTCCTGGTGGCTGAAGCACAAGGAATGTTGGGCTGGATCAGCGAAACATGTGAATTGTCGACGGTGTGAAGACTTGGTACTAAGTAGAGAAGTATTGCAAGTGAGCTTCCCATTCCATCAATCACTTCTCCACGACAAACGCAGATTTTGCAGGCCGACGAATGCAACTACCTCATCTCAGCCCATGGAAAAGATAAAAAGCATGTCGCGGAATATGACATTCGGCCGTCTCCTGGCTATGGTAAGTGGTCCACCTTGGGACCACAGATAACACGAGGCACTTCCCATGTAGAGTCTTCGATATTCCCATGCATTGTATGATTGCACAGAGAATGGGAAGTGTTACGTTCCTACCAAAGGACAGCAATAACGAAAAATATCACTTTCGACCGGCTGATTTCTCTTGTCTCTCACGCATAGCAGCTCTTGCACTCCGGCTACCGCCCAATTTAGGACCTCTTGGGACCTCGGGCTTCGCTGCAGCCTTTGTATTCTTCGTTCGTGTCACGCGGCGACGGGACTGAATGGCATCGAGGAACTCTCTTCGAAATTGCTCCGCCACCCTGTCATCAGCCGCCTGATCGTCTAGCAGGGCTTCCTCTTCAGGTTCGTCATAAACATCCACTAAAATGAATGAGCACATTAGCAACGGGCCGCCAACCCGCAGAGACTTTGAAGTTCGAGTACATAAGACATACATTTGCTTTCACGCAGGACCTCTTCCACCAGCCTGTCCCTCTCGATATCCTCGCTGTTTCGCCGTTTCCGATTGCGCCACGGCCTGCCATCCTTCCCTGACGCAGCGATACTGGAAGTAGAGTCTTCGTTGGCTGGCGATACATCACGATCATCTCCGACAAGTCTTCTCGTCGCAGCTTCTGTCCGAGCGATGTTCTGTAGTTTTGCTTCTTGCCCAAGATCAATCTCGTGCAGTTTACCCAGAGATGCTGGCTCGCGCTGCAAAGCCACAGTTGTCGAAAGACCATCGGAGCTTGCCTGGCTGGTTGTAGAAATGTTCGAGTCAGTAGTATTGGCGGGCATCTGCTGTCTGTGTCGTTTAGCCATTTCGGTCTCTATATAAGCCATCCTTATCTTGTTAGTCTCTATCACAGGCAGCAAACGGTAAAAGAATATGCGGAATCGTACATATGCTTGTCAACATCGACTGTTTGGCCGGTGTATGCAGTAAACCGATCGCACATAGCTCGTATCTTCTCATTCTCGAGATCTTCAGCTGTTACTGTCGTCACCGCAGCTTGATTGCCTGTTTTATCCGTCCTCTGTCGAGAGGTGTTGGAGAATTCAATGCCACCTTTGCGAGCTCGCTGAATACGTCGTAAACGGGCAAGATCTGTCGACGAAACTGTATCGTTTGACTGCGAAGGAGGGTGAGATGCGGATGAATCGTTATCATGAATGCTGTTCGCATTTGCGACGTGCGCTTCTTCTTGTGAATCCTCAGGCTCGAACTCCCGGCGTCGCAAGAACTTCCTTCTCTTGACCGGCCGAAACATCGCTTCAGTATTCGGACTGACGTCTGTATCCATGCTGCCCAGATAATAGTGTGTGTGTGTGTAACCGAGTATAAAACGGTTATGGCGGAGAGTGGACGATTTAAAAGATAGAAGAATGTCAGACTAGCTCAGATTAGCCACCCCGTGATGATGCAGCCAACGAAGCTGTCTGTGGTTGGTCTCCGCTATTCGCGCCCGCACGCACCTTAGGATTTCCGCCGCCGCCGCTGCGCCGCAACAATAAGACCTAACAGTCACATTTTACGTACCTACACAACCTGTCGATCTTGAGCTGGAACTGACTTACAAGGAAGGCCTGGCAATATCTTTTCGTGGCCTGATCAGTTTCAGCATTGATACTTGTCAGCAAAAGAAGCAGGAAGCAGTCCGCCTCGACCTCTAAGCAAGCTGTACCCCTTCGATTACCAAAATGAACCCTTCAATTCCACCATCGACTGCCGAATACGGTGGAGGTATGTTGGACCTTGTCGGCTATATCTAAAGCGATGGATGCTGATTGCGATATGCGTACAAGATGAGATATCGGCCATTGTTCTTGACCCAGGATTTTCAACAACGCGCGCAGGGTTTGCCGGTGAAGATACGCCGAAATCAGTGATCCCGACATACTATGGAAAGTACACCTACGAGGCGCAAGAGAAACTTATCTTTGGCGATGACATCTTTGTCACCCCCCGCCCCGGACTGTCAATTCATAACCCGATGGGGAGGGACGGCGTTGTGGAGGACTGGGACATGGCGGAGAAAGTGTGGGAGTACTCTTTTACGTCGCGCTTGACAGGACCAAAGGCTGGAAATCCTTTTCAGAACGGCCTGAACGATGTCCCCAATGGCGAACTGCCTTCGGAAATGGAAGGTGTGGAAACCGAGGAGAAGCCTCTTGCGGATAGCCCCCTCCTCATGACTGAGTGCGGTTGGAATCCTACGAAAGCGCGCGAGAAGACCGTTGAAATCGCCATGGAAAAGTGGGGGACGCCAGCATTTTACCTGGCCAGAAATGGTGTGCTTGCAGCGTATGTTTTCATCATTCTATGCACTCATTTCCCTTAGCTGATCGTTGTGCTTACGTTGCTCCTAGCTTCGCTGCTGGTAAGGCTTCTGCTTTGGTCGTTGACGTTGGCGCCTCGAACATTTCCGTAACTCCGGTCCACGATGGGATGATACTGAAGCGCGGTGTTCAACACTCTCCCCTGGGGGGCGACTACATTTCATCGCAACTCCGCGCCCTGTTCAAGACCAACTCACCACAACCGATCACTATCACGCCCCATTACCTCGTCGCCTCTAAGACAGCCGTCGATGCTGGACAGCCTGCGCAAGCGAAGTACAAGACATTCCCATCTGACAAGGCACCGGATGCGTCCTACCGCACTCTCATGGAAGAACGAACATTGTCTGAGTTCAAGGAGTGTGTTGTGCAGGTGTGGCCCGGACCCAACAAACTCTCCGCTACCGGTCCGAACGGCGTCTCCAACGAGGAGGTTGCGAAGAGTAGCCCCGGAAGACCTTTTGAGTTCCCTGATGGCTATAATCAAGTGTTCGGGATCGACCGGTACAGGGTGGTTGAGTCATTGTTTGACGCCAAAGCGGCCATTCCAGACCCTGAGTCGGTGTTTCCAGCTCCAACGCAGGCGCAGACGGTGTCGGAACTTATCAAAGCTGCGCTGAATGGCGTTGATGTCGATGTCCGCCCCCACCTCCTGGCAAATGTCGTCGTCACAGGCGCATCGAGCTTGCTCTATGGCTTCACCGATCGCTTGAACCAGGAGCTTATGCAGAGTTATCCTGGACCCAGAGTGAGAATCTCTGCGTCCGGAAACACGGCGGAGCGGAAGTTTGGTTCGTGGGTTGGAGGCAGCATCCTTGCCAGTCTGGGGACCTTCCATCAAATGTGGATTTCAAAGAAGGAATACGATGAGCATGGCCCCAATATTGTTGAGAAACGCTGCAAGTAACTCAAACGTCGCGCTGTTGAACCTGTTAATTCGACCTTTTTTTTTTCCCCCTGGTCTGCTCGACTTATGTGTATTAGGACACTTTATCCTCGATCGTGGTAAAAGTCTGTTCGGTTTCTTCGGTTCTAGTGGCGTTTTATGTGCTATCAAACTACTATTGAAAGACAGCTTCAGCCTCCCTCTTCCTTCTTTTTCAATACCTCACTACCTGTCTTTTAAATAGTGCTTGGGTTTCTGGAATCTTTGAGCTATGCAACGCAAGGAAAGAACGCATTGCGTCTCGCCCTTTTCACCCTATCATTGTATAAGTATCTTTGCGTCTTCAATTCATAGTGCCGTCCAAATCTCAGACCATATATGGATTAACAACTACTAGAGCTGGGGCCTGTCTGTTCCACAAATACGGCCAGTTCGTTGCTGCGATTGATGACGTCTACCGCAAATATATAAATGGCAAGTCTCGGTTGTCAACCACCTGCCCAGAGGCAAGGCTGAAACTAATGGACGCGACCCCTTTGACTATTAGCAATCCTACCACCAGGCTTATCGTGATGGAAGCCACGCTCGCGCTTGCTTTCGGGTACTACGGGGTGTTGGAAACGATTCGGTGGTGTAAGCCAGTTAGTGGGCATTCCTGTGCCAGGGGGGCACACCACTACTAGTAGTTGGCAACGGCTACCCCTGCACAGCGAGCTTATCTTTCCTGCTCAAGTTTCAGGAAACCTCCATCTCCTTGTCATATCTTCTACACCGAGGAGTGGATGTAGGTCAGGACTCCCAGTGCAGTTCATGGCCCTTGACCATTGATTTCGATGATGATCAAGGCCAGCAAATCCCGAATCTACTCCGAAGCACACATCCCAGAACGTGGTGGAACTCCAATAACAACAAACATATTGTGGGCATCACCCAGACGCAGATGGAACACGAGGAAATCTCTCAAGAATCTGCAAACATTAGCTTTACATATGAATGATACTGAACAGCGGCGGCTGTGCTCACCGTGGGTGGTGCCGGAAGGGCCGTTATTATTGATTGACCATCTCCGGCCGAATCTTCCCTCGTCTCATCGCCATAGTAATGTTCTTCCTCTGATTCTTGAATCAGGCTTGTATGTACGGATAGGACATGAATCCTAGGAGCAACGTTCCGTCTTGGCTTTAAGGAATATGTGTTCAGTGCTTCGGTTCCCTCCTGCAGCCAGGCCATTTGTTGCTCTAAGTCCTTTTCAAAAAAGGTCGTCCGCGAGCCAGGAATATCAGAGGTATCAGCAGCCCTTGCACGGAACACGCTCGATGGACCCTCTTTTCTCTTTTGGGACACCGAGCGGATTATCTTCTTCTCTCTGTTCGCTGCACTCTCCCAAGCCTCGACTACTCTGTCCGACTTGAAGAAGTGCAACAGCTGATTTTTCATGGTGTCCTGCCTGACCAAGCGCCCGGACTTGGAAGAACGGTTTGGCTGAAGCGGGACTGGTGTCTTCGTCGTGTCCTTGTCACAATCTTTATTATTGTGCTTCAGGCTTTGAGGTTGTTCCAGGAAAGTGCTTTGAGATTTGAGTGATCTGGAAGGGGCTGTGGCGGGTCGGTTGCTCGGCGACCCTTCGACATCTCCACTCGCGTTCTGCTTTGTCACAAGTCCAGCCCTGGAAAATCTTCTACTGAGGCTTCTCTGTATCCTAGGAAGAAAAGCGGTAGAACCCCGATTTTCAGCGGCACCGTGAACGGATTTGGCGCGGCGTCGGCCCTCAGCTTCGGATGAAAACTCCTCGGAATTTTTGGCAGCTCGGAGGTTCGGAACGCTCTTCTGTGACATTCGATGCCCTTGCGTCTGCCTGGATACGGGACGCGGACCGACTGCTCCCAAAGTATCTGGGTCAGAAGGTAGTGGCTTCTCTGAGACGGAGGAGCGGGATGCGCGGATGGATAAAGCTTTTCCAAAGAAACGCTTCTTTGATGATCTGTGGTGGAAAGCTCCGTTGGGATTCTGAAGCAGCGACACCTAGCACGAAAATCAACATCCCGCCCCTACTGAGATTTATGAGGAAAATGCATTGCGGGATACCAACCACATCTTTCCTGCTTGCAACCCCTATGCGCCGTTGCATCTCGGTGATGGCCAAACCGAGCTGTGCAAGAGCTGACTCAAGGGCCATTCCTTTTCTGCTAAGTTTAGACAGCGCCGTGTTCCAGCCTTCCGTATTCGCCAGCATAGCGTTATAGAGAGCGACCAAGTCACCGGGGAGGGGCCTATTTTCTTTCGCAGATTGTCCGATATAACGCCACAAAGCACCGATTGCTTCTCTTCCTTTCTGGATGTCTTTGAGGGAGTCTTTCACTGCCATAGTAAATCGCTCAACTGCATGTTCGATCTGCTCATTGTATTCAATCATAGTGAGGCGAAAGTTGCGATCCTGCAACATTTCATCAAAAACATCCAGATTCTGGAGGGGCAGGCTGAGATACTGGATTCTTGTGCGGACGTCAACCTGGATGATGAAGTAGTCCTCGGTGTTTCTCTCAATGAATCCGTCAAGCTCATCCACATGACGCTGGAGGATCTTCAAAACCTCTAGTTTGGATTTCGCCAATCCTTTGGCCAGCAAATGCACTCCAAATGAAATCTGAGAGATCAACTTCCACAGAGGATGATACCTGTGACCTATTAGCTTGTTGGTCGACGTTAAAAACAGTGCTCTTGATCGGGTTATATAGAACTTCACTTGCCTCTCGCCAGCTCGTTGGCGCCATTTTCTCCCACAGAGTCGTTCATACTCGGCATTTTCGAGCAACTCTTTTCTCCGAGACTGGGCGTCAAGATTGACGGTCCATTGGGTGTCTTTTTCCTGGCTTGCTTCAGAGATTGATTCTTCGAACGGGCCCTGCAACTGTGGAATAGGGTGAACAGGCGATCTACATGGCTTCTTGTCGCTCGGTGTAGGATCGTTGTCTTGTTCGGCAGCGGGGGTAGTTGCTTGTAGCTCTCGGTTTTCGGGCGCAGACGCCATCAATACTGAGGCGGAGTCTTTCACAAGTCATCCAAACCGGGATTACCAATGCGGGCGGATTCTGAGAGCCTCAGATTTTCTTTCCTTCTTAGTCTTTGGTGATGAAGATACAATGCAAATCGTGCTCCCACTCAACTACGCTAAACGGAACTGGCAGCGTAATGGGTTGCCTTTTGAGGAGTGTTAAGCCAAATAAAGAGCGAGTGGTTCAGATCCATTTAGGTATTGACGCGATGCGCGCTGAATTTTTCACCGAATTGAACGATGGTACAGGATCATGCAGGAGAGATCAAAGGGAGTGAGTGTGTGTTTTTCAACTTAAACCCCATAGAAGAGGACAAGCAGAGCAAACGAAATGCTCTGTAGAAAGGTCAATTGAATGAACCCGTTGAAGTGAGAAAGTACGGGCCTTGGATAGACTATCTAGGTAAGTGGACTGACTGTCTGTGGGAACATTATTATTACGGAGCCACCTCAGGGACAACAAATTCAATTGTGTTGTCAGCCAAGCTAACATACGTAATTTGAGAGCCGGTGGGACAAGGACAAATTAGAAGGATTATTAGAAGGATTAGGGATAATCATACAGGGGGGCTCCGTGCGTAATAATAGTAATATTAATGTTTTAATATACCGACGATCGCGGAGACCCGAGAGTCCAGAACTTGAGAAAGTCAGGTAACTAATAGTAATGATAACTAAAACAATGAGAGAAACCGTCGTTCTGAGCAATAACAAACCTATCAAACTAAGCATCTATCTATAGAGTCCTGAGCTAAGGACAAAGACCCGGCCCGGATTGCAAAGATAAGGTGGAACCCAAAGTCAAAAGTTTCAGATTCAGCCTATTATTCAGGATTTGAAGGAGGAAGTCGTACTCTTTTACGGAGTACTCTGTGGTAGTTCAAGCCTGGAAATTATTATTTGTTGTTATATTAACCCCAAAAACTTAGGAACAGCCTAAGGATGTTAGTTGATGCTTGAAAGTCAGGGGCTAGCCACTCATATATGATACATGACAATATCAAGTAGTATCCAATGACAATCGGTTTTGAATACATACTCCGTACCTACCGAGTGTTCCGTACCTTACCACGATATAGATAAATATCAACCTTCCTTAAAATCCTGACTTTATGCTAGACTGATCTAAAGTGGACTCGAATGAGAAGTCTCTATTTATGCCAGGAAATAAGGTGTTTGGACTTGATAATGGACAACTTCCATTGTTTTCGCATCCATCCAAGGACATCATGATGCCAGAGACCAACGCCCGCAAAAAAATGCACTCGGATTTTGAGAAGTTCTCAGCATTTCCCGTACGCGCTTGAGCCTTTGCACTGCCATTCTGAAGCGGACTACCTATGTAGATGAGTAGTGTTCAAGAAACCATTAAGTATTTGTTGGTCAGGTCACCGGCAGTAATGACGATCGACAGCCCGCACTTCCCCCAACAGACGTTTTCTCCCAATGAGAGGGTACGAAAAGGGTCATTCGCTCTTGGTCAACGCCTCTTCGTTCTGAACAGCGGCACAAGTGCACAGGGGATACTGACTTTATCATACTGACATGCTCCCAAATTGCGCCATCACGTGCTACCATTCTCCTCGGTGAGAAAGACTGGGTCCCAGAAGTTCGTTGGTAAGGACAGGTCAAGGAAGTCACCAAAAAGCACGTCAATATCTTCAAGAGCACCCTGCCGGTTTTCCTCGACTCTCTGCAAATCTGCGGGTAAATCCGTAGGACCTTCTTTTGGCGCAACAGGTGCGGGGACACAACCAGAAACGCCAGGGCTATAATTGTCAGTCGCTAGCTGCGTGGTAGAAGCAGGTGTTACTGCATTTGACGCTGATGGGATGGTTCCAGGGTCCATCAGCTGCTGAACGCCCTGTCCCTGAGATCGCTGCAGTCCAGGCTTTGCCACGTTAATTTCACGCAAGGCCCTGCGTCCCAGACGTGCCATTGCCTCTGCAGAGTACCAGTAGATGCTCAT